GGCGGTTGCTTCGATGACCTGGAGCTGTCACTTGGAAAAGGTCAAGTGCCTGGATAGAGAGCATCACAACTCAGGCAGCCAAGCAAGCAATCCCTGCGCTGGAAGCAGATTTCCTCTGACACCACTCAGCCAACCGACTTCCAAATACCATTGGTCAACTGGGCTTCAACATCCATGCCATGGAGTTCACCAGCTACCCCGCGCCGAATGCGGGCTCCAACCTGTATGACAAACGATTGAATTCTCTGCGAGCGCAAACACAAACATTTGGTGTAGCAATTGCAAGTCACACAGTGTGGGGGTTTAGGCTCGGATGCGCGAAATGGTACTTCAATTGTGCGAGCTTGCGCTCCAGTTGCAGGTCAAAGCCCCACAAATAGGCGTTTCGAATTGAGCCAGGACCATACTGCGATGCACAATACGCATTTGATCACGCTGTTCTTATCACACAGTGGACCATCACAGCTGTCAAATTTAAGAACTGTGCGAATGCTTGTTGGCTGTTGGCTTCGCTTGAAAACCATCCAGAAAGAAAGAATGAAAGAAAGAATGAAAGAAAGAAAAGCGTAACATGTTGAGCACACGGCTCGTGACTTCTTTGGTTCGGTTCACCTTTGGGAGCCTCAACTATGGACCGAAGTGGGGAAACCAAAGCGTCAGATCTGGGCTAGCGAGGCAAATCCAAGCCTTGGCAAAGTTGTAAAGAATCACGACCAGGGCCCCATCAAACAACTCTCCCTGGGCGGTGGCGCCAACAATTGCGATGATCACCTCAGTCGGACATCTTGAGATGCCCCAAATCAGCGCCAATTCGAGATCAGGTCTGCAGATGTTGTCGCGAAGTACGAGCCAAACGGTCCAAAGCAAGCACTCAAATAATGCCCAAAAGTGGCTCTTCAACCCCTTGACTGCACACACTTGGTGCGGTTGTCAAAATATGGCTTTTGCAGCACGCGAATTTTGACCTTACAGTATTTGTTTTATCGAGGTGCCAGTGCCGCAAGGTCCAGCTGGCACTTGGACAGGGAGATGTAAGCCTCCAGGAGGATGAAGGGCAAGCCCACGCAAATGGCTGCAGCCTGGAATCCCGCCGCCGTCTCCTCTCAGGGATCCAGTTTTGGCAAGAGGACCAAAGTGCCAAAGAAAAAAACAAAGTGCCAAAGCTCTCCTTTTCGTGTCGATGCCTAAGCCAAGCATCGAACAAATAAAATGGGCACCACGCGGTTAGGTCATATGGCCATGGAGGCCAAGGTACCCTGGATTCAGCCCCTAGTTCTTCAGCAAGCTAAGCAGGGGTTTATATTAATCCTGGGTTCCCGTTCAGGGCCAAACACGGCTGCTTGAGGTGAAATCCGGCCCGATTTATCCCTCTCCTTCATCTCAGAGGCTTTCTCTACCACAATACCTCGATCATGTCAATTGAAAAGAAGCCACGTTTGAGGCACAAAGCTGCACACATGACTCAAACGAGTTGTGTCAATTCTCTGCGCTTTTTCAGGCATGGGATTAAAACACCCGTTTCCTTTCAGCCAAGTGTCCAATGATCAAGAGCAACACGGCCAGCAGCACTGAGAAGTGTCTCGTGTGCTGTCGGCACCAAAGCTTGATATCTTGGGTTTCAGCTGTTCCTTGTTCAGCGCCTTGACCTGAGCCAGTTGAGAGAAGCAAGTGTACCCCGGGAATCCATTCGATTCTCTGATTCTGACCATGACTGGCGAGCCAATACCTGCAACTGAACCCTGGTAGACCAGAAGCACTCATTGCAGGCATGCTCGAGGGTATGGGTCAAAATCGGGAACTGGGGACCGCTAAGTTGATTTCGGTTTTCCTGTGGTTCTTTAAACCAACCTGAAAAGGCCCTCAAAATCACACAAACTGACGAGTGGTTGGCCACGGGGCCCAGCAAAGCGGCGCCCAGCCCAACATCATTCAACTTCTCCAAAATGCTCTCAGGCGAAGTGCAGCAGGCGATAGGACAGTGCACCTCTCAGCCCAGTGTGCAAAAGCCGAACATCACCTCCCCCCAGGTCAAGGGGTGGAGGAATTGTTCTTCGGGGGAGGCCTTGACGCAGGTCGCCTTAGATTCACTCCGACTGGCATGCTTAAACCCCCAGCAGCAAAAAGTCCCCTTCGACACTCTTTCCCGTCCAGGCGCCACGATACAGATCTTGGAGAAAGGATTGACTGAGACATTGTCCACTCCGTCCAAGGGCTCCACGATCCGCTTGATGAGACGCACTTCGGCATCGCAACAAATGTTCCGGACACTGAACCTGGCTGTGTGAAATCATGTGGCCCCTAAGACATCAGGGAAATTTGGGGGAACCTCCAGGCGGTACCCGTGTGGTTCTTTTGGCATTTCCCATCCCATCAGGAAGCCGTGTTATTTGTCGGGTCTGTCTAGCAGAGCCGTTCCATCCTCAAAATTATCCTGAAAGATGGTGGGTTAAAGGGAAACAGGCAAAACAAAAACAATATTGCGAACTTCAATATGTACAGTTTCAGGGAGGCTGGCCGTCCTTGTCTTGACAAAGTCATGAGGTCTGCAACCACCAATGGCGCAAAGCTCAGGTTGGTGATGACCGCAGCAAGCAGAGCAAACTTCTTCCGGGAAGAATAAGCTCTGGGTCTTCCCTTAGCGCAAGCAGCTTAGCATATGGGTATAGTTCACAGGGAAATGGAGGTCGCCATGCCCGAAAATGGGCGTCGGTCTTCCTTTGACTTTGGTTCCCCTTTGAATCAAGGTACAACGGGTACCCTCCAAAAGCAAATACATCTATATATATATACACACATATATTACTATGTATACGCATGCTCACAATGTGCTGTTCAAGCAAGGTCACCATCTCAGCGAAGCCAAGGTGCTCATGGAGAAGATGGATAAAAATGAGGTGCGGCTTCGAGCGACTCAGATAGCATGCTGGTCACATGTCGTCGTCTCCAGCTTGCAACATGGCAAAGACTGGCGCAGCACAATATAAACAAGGCCAGGACACGTTTCTTGGCTGACACAGAAGATTTGTTGCCCACAGTTTGGGTCTCAGTCTTATCCGCCGCCTCACTGTGACTGCAGCCGCAATCGTCCTCGTGGCAATGACCTGAGCTGTCATCCAACAAAAAGACCCATGCGCGGGCTCACACACACACACACACGCCCACGCGCACCCACGCGCACGCACGCACGCATATCCTCATGTCTTGCAAAGGGTTCTGCGCAGGCCGTGCTTGCTTGTTTCCCCTTGAATTGCTAAGCTCGCATCTGTCGCACTCGCCATGTCCGTGCTGGCCATGGCAGGCTTCTTCACAGCGGACGCCATGCGCGCCGTGCGCTGGGCCATAAAGGTGCGCGGTGTCCCCACCGTGGGAATGCCCGCCATGTTCACCATGCGCACCATCACAGCCATGGCTGTGGCTGTGGCCGTGTCCGTGTTCGGGGCTTCTGATGCCATGCCCGTGCCCGTGGCCATGACCCTGGCCACTGCACTCGCTGCCGCATTCATCCTCACTCTCGCTTTCTCCGTGGTCCATTCCGCAGCCGCACTCATCGAATTCATAACTAACTTTCCGACCAGGAGCTTCGTGACTATGTCCATGAGCTTCGTGACTATGTCCATGAGCTTCGTGACTATGTCCATGAGCTTCCTGACTATGTCCGTGAGCTTCCTGACTATGTCCATGAGCTTCCTGACTATGTGCATGAGCTTCGTGACTATGTCCATGGTGACCATGAGCGTGAGCACAAGGGCTTTGTCTTTCGCCGTTCACAGCCTCATGGCTGTGGGCTGCATTCTCTCCGTGGTCATGCTGACACTCACCATGGCTGTGCGCGTGAGCACCCATCGCGAGTATGAGGGCTACACATAAACGGAGGCCAATTTAAAGAAAAGGGCTAGAAGCCGAGATGCCGTGACGAGATGCCGGCCTCGCAAGGACTGCACACAACTTCTTGCAGCTGGGATACGCGTGCAAACCTTTCCGCAAAACGTCCCTTTCCGTTGGCCAGTGAAAGCCGTCAAAGAAAGCCCTACTTTGGGCAAAAATAAAAAATCAAGTGAGCAAGCTACAGCCCGGGCAAAATGAGAGCAATGGCCTTGCTCCTCCGACCAGATCTGCTGGGCGATGAACCCAGTAGTCATGGCCTGGCGCACTCATATTGAAGAGAATCCACGCAAACCTTAGGAACAAAGAGATAAACCTACTAACTGGTGCAGGATATTGCCCATCCCCAGTAGGATATTGCCCATCCCCAGTAGGAAGGAAACTAAAGGCCCCGTGAGCTTCCGGAAAGATTGCGAAGGAATCTTCTCAGCTGGTAAGGAGGGCCCATTGTCACTCCTGACTCGAAGCAACGACAAATAAATGAGGAAGAGAATCTGAATCTAACTGCAAGCCAGCCTGTTCCATGTTTTCCTCCATCTCGCTCCGCTGCTTTTCGAAACTAGTGACTAAGATATGTGCTCTCACCTTGATTCGTAGATCTTCAAGGGAATGCTCAGCAAGTAGTTGGTGTCATAATTCTGGTCATCCTTGGGCGGCGTGGCCCGCCTCCTGGATGAGATCCACACGCCATCGTCGGATTCCAGATCCAAGCCGGCATCCAACGGCCTGACAGATACGACCACATGGGCAGCTGCTTTCGGTTGCAAAGGAAACCAAGGCAAAAAAAAGGCGAAGAGTTGAAAAGGCCAGCCAAGTTTGGAATGAGTGGCAAGGACGCATAGTAGAAGCTTAGATCTTCATCCATCTTGGCCCCTTGCTGGATTGGTCTCATGGCCTCGCTTTGTTGAACTGGAGGCATTGGCATACCATTTCTGGGCCCAAAGTTCGGCTGCTCCGAAGCCGAGTCCTCTGCCAGCAAGCTTTCCACCTGCCGGATGTCTCGCGCTAGCTCATTGAGAGTTTCCCCAGCGGCTGAAACCTGAGCGGCGTGCTTGGCCTGGGCGGCCAAGGAAAATGGAAGCCACAGCACGATGGCGACGGCGCATCTCATGCTTAAA